AATAAGCACCTTTCCCAAAGTTTCAGCTCAGCCGGATCACGGGGACTTGGTCTGGCACTCTTCCCCCTCTGAAGAGTGGCGATGTTAGGATGTTGGAAGCCAAATCCGAGAGAATAGCAAGATTAAATCACATCCTTTGCCCCTCAATTAATTCATCCAATAATAACTTGACATAGACCATGAGCCAGAACTTGAGAGGACTAAGGTGTGACCTCTGCCCTCCTCCAAGAGTTCACAGTCTAGTGAGGGAGACAGACGGGGGAGGCAATGATCAGGAAACCATGAGCTCAGGAGGTCGCACGAGTGGGTCCTGCTAGGTTTACTGTACTCACTTCGGACACAGGTAGAGGAAGCATGATGACAAGCACCAGCTCTTACAGGTCACGTGCACTCACCTTTCATGGGTCACAATGTGTCCCCTGGGCTTATGGGACATGTTACTGTGTCAGGAGGAGATCAGAATGTGGGTGAAGAGCACCAAAGACCGAGCAGAGCCAAAAGAGCCATTCCCAGTGATGGGCTCTTGCAGGCAGGTCACAAAACCTTTCTGACCCGTGTTTTCCTTTTCAGTAAAACTTAGCGAGAACTTAGCGCCAAAATTCAAAATTCTGTCTGCTCTATTACTCCTTCTCTCTCCCTCTCTCTTCATCTCAGCCTCTCCTTCCCTCTCTTCCTCCTAGCTCCCTCTTTCTCCTTCCATGCCTTCACTCTTTCTCCCCACCGCCCAGCAACACCTCCCCTGCCCCTTTTCTGGTTGCAATCGACTGGCTGTCAGCGATTGAGTTTTCCCCCTCCTGGAATTTGGGTGCGTAGGACATGAGAAGACAGAAGGGTCAGATGCTTTCTTAGACCCCCAGTGAGCCAGCGAATAAGGGATGAGACTTAACCTCTGCGTTCATAAAAAATTTACACGACTGCCAAGCACCAAGCAAAAAATACAGAAGAGTTCTCTGCACTCCGGGAAATTATTGAAGCCATAAAGATTCCTGCTCTTGCAGATGAGGCTGTTGGTGAGTGGAGCAGAGCAAATCAATAAGGTCATACTTCTCACCGGATCAAAATACTCAAGGAAATAGCTGCAAAGTAAGAGGAGGGTGAGGTCCCTCTCGGTCAATCATTGCACCGGGTGATGCCCAACACACTGCCTGATCGTCTGGCCTGAATTTTAAAAGCTGGAGAAATACTTAATCAAAATTTGGAATGCTTGTGGCTTCAAAAGGATAATTACTCAGCATTCTGGCTGAGAAGTGTCCCTGATAAAGGATCTGAAAAGGGGGTGTGGGGTGTGCATATTTAAATGATGCAGGTTTCCTAAGGACAAATAATTTTCAGGTGAGACAGGGACACAAATAATTCCTTTTGGGAGGATGGAGAAACCGAAGACATTGGAAATTAGGGATCATAGACATTATATATGCCTTGGATTTAGTGCCTGGCACAGCCATGCATCTGCTTATTCATTCACCCAATGGGCATTTATTAAACACTTATGACGATACGATGTGCTGGGAGCCTAATGTTTTCAGCGAAAGCAGTCCAATAGGAGGTCCCACCAAAGAAAGGCCTGGCAATCTACCACAGAGAAATCAGTCCCTGAAAGCCCTCGGAGCACTGCTCCACTCAGACACACATGGAGTGACCCAAAGTCGAAATCATCTTGATAGCAAATGGTTACGTGCTAGGCATTGCACTTCACTTAGGAGACAGGAGCGAACTAGACACACTAGGACCTGCTCTCAGGGAGCTGACATCGTAGTGGGGAAGATGGGATAAACCAGAAAACAAACCACTTGGATTGTGTTTGATGGTGATAAATGCTTACGACGACATGACAGCTCAGTAATGGGCAGGAGGTCTAAGATGTCAGGGCCTTTCTGAGAGAAGTTATACAAACTGAGACCTGAAAGGTGGAAGGATGCAGGCATCTTGTCAAGACAGAACGCCGTTTAGACAGAGGGAAGAGCAACAGCAAGGGCCCTGAGGTGGGAACATTTGGCATGTCTGGGGACCTTCCAGGAGACCAGTATTGTGAGGGACAAGGTCAGAGCAGAGGACGAGCAGGTTGGAAGGAATTGGTACTACAGAGCCTTGTAGGTTTCCAGAAGATCCATAGAAGGTGCTCAATGCATGTTTATTGAATGACGAATTAACCAGCTGACCAGAGTGACTGTGTGATTTGCCCTGGGTTGTACAGTCACTGTGTTGCAATGAAAACTTGAGCCCCAGCCGCAGGGCTTTTATGTAAACCACAGTGCCCCATGGCAATGAGGATGCTCTTAGCTGTTGTGGTGACACATCTCGTTGTGAGACATCTAGTGTGTGTGTGTATATATATATATATATTTTTTGAGACATCTAGTATCTTATGACAAGATTCTTTCTTAGACCCCCAAGAAGACATTCCAATGAGCCAGCGAGTAAGGGATGAGACTTAACCTCTGAGTTCATAGTCATGCATGAACTCATTTATCTCTCTGCAGATACTGTTACTGTCCCTTTTCTTGATCAATGCGGTAACTGTGGACCAGAGAACTTGAGCTACTGACTGACGCGATCACCCACAGAGAATGGATTGGTGATTTCAAATCGGCTTTGTTTTGTCCATCACCCTCGCCCTGCTCACAGGGCATCAGCTACCATTAGTCACTTCCAAGTGGCAGCAGCCCCATGTCGTTCAGGACTGGTACTCCACAGGTTCCAGTGTCTGCTGTGACCCTTGGGTCGTAGACTGCCAGGCCTTTCTTTCAAGGCACCTCAGGATGAATTCGAACTTCCCACCGGATGAAGGGCACCCACTCAAAACATGTTTGCTGAATGAACAACAATTATTTTAAAAGCCTATTTTTACACAAATGTAAGTCTTTTATACAATTGTCTTTACATCCCATGTTTTAACCCTGCGGGGCATATTCCATCATCAATAAGCCTCTGTCATCATTTCTAATGACCACACTGTAGATCATTATAGAGCTGTGCCCCCATGTACTTTATCAACCCCCTATTATGGGATATTTGATTGTTTCCAACTTTTCACTATTTCAAAGATCTCTACCAGTAAAAAAGGCATTGATCTGATAGACATCGTTAAGCATCTGCCTGGTTCTGCCTTGGGAGAAACTCCCGGAAGTGGGATGGCTGCATGAAACAAATGGAGACACATTCAATGGCCCTCCAGAAAGTCGAGTTCATTCAGCCCTTTGGGCTGCTGCCCTTGAGGGGTACAGATATACTGAAGTGTGTCCCGAAGACAGGGCCCCAAGGCCTACTTGTTTATGAGTAAAGGCAGAGAAAAAATTCCCTTTTAGGCTGGAAGAGAGGCGGTTCAAGGCAACACCGAGAGCAGTCTTCAAAGGTCTGAAGAGCCGGGACTCTGAGTACAGAAGACTCGAGAGAGCATGCGTGAGAGCAAGTATCCTGAAAGAGCAGGCAGTGTCAGGCACAATGAGCAGGGGCCTTCAGAGGAGGGGCTGGAATCAGCCACGGAGGCATTCCTGCAGAGGAAAAGGCCTCCCCCTGCAGCTCCAACTGGAAACACTTGTCACTTGAGTCTTTGCAGGGAAATGCTTGGTGAGCTCCTCCCAGCCCCTCCTCTTCATTGTTTCTCAGAGCCAAACTGAACATGTGGAATGAGGACAGGCAATGCAGAAGGGCAGACCTGACTCTGCGTGACCTTGAGTGATTTGCACCCATCTCGGGGCCTGTTTTCACAGCTGTGAGTTGCAGATTAAAGCAAAGAACCCTGCCCCCGAAGGTGGTTTTCGAATTAAATGAGACTGTTTCCACATGTGTAATCCAGATGGAAACAGGAGAGCCCCCAGCAAGCAAAGCCTCCCTCCTTGTGTCCCCTCAAATATTTCTGAGTGGCTCTTAGCTGACCCCTCAGCTGACTATGGTTCTATCCAAGTCTCTGCATCCTACCCTCACCGGGCTGCCCTTTGTCAAGGTCCTACCGAGGTCCAGCTCTCTGGTGGCCAGCGCTGTGCTCTGCAGATGACCCCTGCGCCCTCGGGTCTGACACCAGGCTCATTCATTCAGTCGATGTGTATTGACTGAGCCAGGTCCTCCACCAGGTGCTGGACATTCAGGAGTGAGAGAAATGGGACTTGGTTCTGATCTCAGGGTTCTTATCATTTAAGGGGAGAAAGATACTGCTCAGACAATGCCCCTCGTCCATATATAATTAAAATCTGTGAATGGGACAGTTAGGAAATGATGAGAGTACTAGGGAGATCCCACTGAATCTGGGGTGGGGATTGGGGGAGTCTGGGATGAGATTTAGGAGTGGGGGTGGGTTATGGACTCTGAGGTGAGGGTTAAGGGAGTGTGGGAGAATTTTCCCTAGGTAATGATATTTTAGATGATATTTAAGGGTACAGAGACGTGTAGATGGCAAAGAGATGGGGAAGGTCATTCCAGGCCCCGGGAACATGGGCTAAGGCCCCGAGGCAGGGTAGATGGTATGGTATTTAAGGAGCTGAGTGGCATGCCTGCATCATCCTGTGTGGAGCAGCCACTTTACCTGCCTGCCCAATTCAAGCAGAGACCAAGATGTAGCTTCAATCATGTTTTTACTGACAATTTGTAAGTCTGATATTCGCCCATATGTCTGATCTTAGTCCATAAATTCCTCTACAGACTCACGCAGCACATGCGATGATAGCGAATACAGGAAGATCTCAGGCCAGTGGGTGGAAAGTCTTGTGGATCCAGTAGTGATGGAAGCCTCTCCACGTGGTTCCTCAGCTCCTGAGTGTGTCTCTTCACCGGGAAGGTGAAGCAGAGAGAAAGAGAAGAGACAGAGATAGAGACAGAGACAGAGAGAAAGAGAGGAAGTTCCCAGAATCCTTATGGGAAGGCCCACAAGGAAGCATCATCAAGTTGTGACCTGATTGACAGGCTAGACTCCACCCCTTCACTCTTAATAGCCTCAAGTTGACACGAGATTATGTTACTACCATACCTCAGGACTCTATAATCATAGCTAAGTATTATATTCTTATGAAACAAAAGAGAACATGTAACGATGGTAGAGAAACAAGATAGAAAGAAGACATGTGGGCTTTCTGTTATATGGAGCACCCACACCAACCCCAGAAAGTTTCCTCAAGATTGTTAAAAGAAAGAAAAGTACAATTTGAAGTCATTTAACCAGTTATTTGGAGTCTCTGTTTTAGCAACCAAACTTAATACCCTAAATAATACAGGCTATCGTTGTTTAGTAAGTACTCACTAAACTCATCTCTAGAGTTCTCCAGCTGACAATGGAGATGAAATTTCAGGCTCTTTCAGGGATAACCTTTAAAGGAGATGTCGTAATGAAGATAGAGCAATATTGGCTAAAGGAGAATCTTTATGGAAATAAAATAGATGCAAGAGGCAATAGTACCTTTGATAAATCAGTACAGGTGCATGGGGCATATTTCATGTTGTGATGTGGTTTAATTATTCATTTCAGCACCAGCATTATGAATGCACTGATTCTCTTGAAGGAGATTGGGGCTGAGAGGGAAGAAATTGTGGACCCTCTGGAAGCTACTTAACTGGAAGGTGGTCAACATCCTTTGTATTGTACCGGGTGCCTCTTACTTCTCAAAAGGGTTGTAAGCAATGAAACTGTGTTTTTGTTTGCCCTGTGTCTAGATGTCTGGGTGATGGACGTGGAAAACTTTGTTTTGTGTTACAGGCCCATCTATTCTGAGGAGGAGAGAATGAAGGGAGTAGAAAGGAACGTGGGGCTCTCATGAACTTCTTTGAGTACCCCAGCACCCAAGGTGGTGTCACACCTCCAGAATACCCGAGACATTCATCACCTGAGACCGGCATCTTCTAGTCCGGAGACCTTTCCTTGAGGGAAGAACCTTAGCCTTTCAAAAGGGTCTCTGCACTCCAGGGAGAGCTTCTTACCAACCTCCCAGAATGCAGGCTCAGTGAATAAGGATATGGGGTTTAGGCCCAGGAAGGTCTGAGGCCAATTCCCAACTCTACAATGTTCCTATCAGGTGTGTGAACTCAGGAAAGTAAATCCAGCTTATTCGAGTCTGAGTTTCTACATTTGCAACTTGGGATTAATACCTCTGCTTATCATTATGATTGATAGATAAGTAGGTGGGTAGATAGAGGCCATTGAGTTGACTCTGACTCATGGTAACTTCATGTACAACACCACTAAATGCTGCCTGATCCTACATCATCCTCACGGTCAACATCATGTTCAAGACCATCAGTGTAACTGTTGTGCCAGTCAAGTTGAGCAACATGCTCTCTCACCCTCGCTGCCCTTCTGTGTCACCAAACATGATCTCCAGCATCTGATCCCTTCAGATGATGATAGGCTGTGACCCATAAGGTTTTCATTGGCTAATTTTTGGAAGTAGATTGCCAGACCTTTCTTCCTAGTCTGTCTTAGTCTGGAAGGTCTGCTGAAACCTGTCCACCATGGGTGGCATTGCTGGTATTTGAAATACCAGAGGCATAGCTTCCATCATCAGAGCCACACACAAATGACCCCAGTGTGACACAATGACAGATGGATGGTGGGTCCCTGTTTTAAGGGCTCTTAGGAACTCTCTGCTTAGTTTAGAAGAATCAAGTATTGGGGGGAAATGGTCAGGTCGTTGAAGACAAATATGCAAGCTTGCTATTTGATATTAAGTTCAACTACACAGCAAAATCTGTCATTGATCTGCTCTGCGAGAAGTCCGATGGGAATGGGCTGCTGCTGCTGCTGGAGGAGAGAAAAGTGGTTTCCAACCTTGACTCAATTTTGAATTTATTGTTTAATAATAACCATTTCCTTCCCATCTTCTAGATTCCTGGTTCCTTGCTGCTAAAATCCCCGCAACGGTCTCTGTGAGTTGAGAAGACATTGTCCATCAATGGCATGACTTGATCACGATCCCATGAAGGCCAGACTCCTAGTCTGCAGCTTTTCCCAGGGCTTTTAACAATCACCCCGTCCCAAGCATGGCAGTCGGTGCTGAGGGTACAAAGCTGGAAATACAAGGCCCCTTCCTTAGTACAGTGAGTGAAGCATTGGGCTGCCAACTAAAGGATCAATGGTTTAAACCCATCCACACCCACCAGAGAAAGATGTGCCAGTCTGCTCCTATGGAGACAGCCTTGGCAGCCCTGTGTTGCAGTTCTGTGGACTACAGAGTCCTACAGTGAGTAAGAATCAATTCGATGGTGGAGGGTGAGTTTCCTCAAAGGGCTTACCATTTAGCTGGTGACACACACATACACATATACGATTTAATACTGACCTATAAATTCCCCTCCTGCTTATAGCTTCCCTTATGAAGAGAAACCCTGAAAGCACAGGACAGCCCTGTGGTTTCCAAGGCAGCGGTAAC